TGTGCATGCCGGTAAGAATGCGGTCAGGTGAGAAATATGCGGGGTACCTACGTGCCGATGAACGCCAGAGACATGTCGACCTTGTCTCCCACGCGCTCGAGGACTTTGTCGAACACGGTTTCGCAAGCGATCGCGTCTGGGCATCTGCTCATGACTCCGAGCGTGACCTATACTCGAGTTAGCACTGAGGGGTGAGCCGGAGCGAATACGTACTGGGACATTGACATCCTGTGTTATTTCGCCTTGCAGGACGAGCTCGGTGACGACGGCGGCGCTGGCAAGCAGCGGAAATAGGAGCAATGAGAACATAATGGGAGTGACAGAAGCAGATGACGCCACATCACGTGTGCAAGCGCGTGTACCGCGGAGACACCCTGGGCACGTGTTGGCGCTTGTTCGTGTTGTGTTTGGAGGCTTTCTCTCCTCCGCTGAAATTTCCCAGTCCCACTTCTCCCCTCTGATGACCTAGACATGCTCGTGCTCGTCGTCAGTTCCTACCTGCTCTTCCAGAACGTATACACCACTTTCAAGGCACTCAAGCCTGCCAAGCCGTCTCGCAGGTCCAAGAATGGTGTTGACCCCACCGTCAAGGCGAAGCAGGCGCGAAAGCGCGAGCTCAAGGGAATGCTCGCGTGCTGGATTGTCTGGGTGCGTTGAGTTCATTATTTTGGCTCTGCTCTGCTAATAGTGTCTCAGTCTTGCTGGACAAGTGCCGAGGCAATCGCAGACCGCACCATCTCCGTTCTCACCCCCTTCTACAATGAGATCAAGATGTTCCTCGTTCTTTTCCTCATCCTAGGTCGTGCTACGGTGTGTACACGACCGATTGCCTCCAGTACTACGCCACATCTAACTCGTTGAACAGATGTCAGAGGCAATTCTTCTCCACGTCATCCGGCCTCTCGTCAAGCCATATTACGTTTCACTCGACTCTTGCGTTGAAGTTTTTACTTCTGCGGCGGACTTTGCTGTGCTACTGTTTACGGCACCTCTTGTCTGGATAAAGCTCGTTACGCGACAAGCGTGGTCCACTCTCCAAAAGACTTTCTCCAGTGGCTCTCTTCCTCGCCCGGGCGGCCATGCTGTGTCTGGTTCCGACCCTGATGAACCCTTGAATGAACCAGAGGCCACGTCGACCAAGGGTGAAGAGCCCAAACCCGATCCGCGCCAGCGCTTCATTCCCAAGACTCGCGCTTACGCCCAACAGGAATCCGATGCCGAGGAGATTATGTACAAGAATCCTCTGCGCGATGACCCTCCTCCGTATGGTACCCCGCTAGGCATTTCAGAGTTTGTCGAACGCGACTATCCTCCGGTGTTCAGCACTCGTCGTGGTACCTCTCGTTCGCGCCCGGAGGCTGGTCCGGCTGGTCGACCGTACGGACGTCGGATGTCGATTGATTACCGCCCACCTTATGCCGGGGATTCCTCAAGCGTCACTTCCGTCTCCTATCGACAAGAGTCTGAGGTCGGGGGTCCTATCTATGGTCTCTCTCCTGATACCCAGGGCGTGACTAATGGGGCAGGCGATCTTGCACCGGAGACCGATCCGGACATCCCATCCTTTACACTTGCTTCACCTGAGCACCCTCCTGCCTCAGTCCCGGCTGCTCCCGCGATTCCCTCGTACCTACAACCTCGTACACGCGCTAGCCGAGCGAACCTCAATCCCAATCGACCTCGCGTAGACAGTTATGCGGACCGGCCAAATCCCCGCGCCTCGGCATTTTTGGAGGGTGAACGTGGCATGACGTTCGCGGACAAACCCAAGGAGGCCAAAGGTCTTACGCCAGAAGTTGGGGGGTATGTGTCGCCTCCTGTTAACTCGCCGCCTATGGGCCCGACAATCCCAGCCCCCGGTAACCCGTATGCCGCCCGTGGGCGCCCTACATATCCTCCAAGGTCATACACCCCAGCCGATGAAGGAGATGGTGGCAGCCGAGTCGATCTCATTCAAGGTTGGCGCCAGCGTTCTGCAATCCCTCCCGACCCCAAGCACAAGCGGGCACCGAGTGCCGGTCCGGGTGGAAGCTCTTACCCCTATCAAGCGGCTTCGACACCGCATTCGCAGCAGACGCCCAGCATCGCCCCTTCATTCCCTTCTCCCCAGATACCTACGGCATCCATAGCGCCTTCTCTTACGCCTTCTCAAAGTGTGTCGAATGTTTTTCCTCGCCCCCAGCCTGGGTACCGCCCGCCGTCGGCAGGACCAGAGAATCGTCCGCCAACGGCCGTTTCGCGGCAACCTACTACCACGCCTAGCTATCCTCCGACCTCTACAACAGGGATGGGCCTCCCCCGTAGACAACGTTCTACGCGTGAGCTACGCGCTCAAGTATGGGAACCCAAGGAGGACAACAGTGCCGCCGAGGCCGAACGCCTCCGTGAGGAGGAACGACTAGCTATTGAGAAGAAAGAGGCAGAGCGGGTAGCCGCCCTCGAGAGGCAGCGGAGAAAGGTCTCCGGCAAGCAGCCAACTGGGGACACTCCATCCACAAGGACTCGGGCGCGAACGAGGGGTGCAGGGGGGGAGACGGAGGAGGGATTTTGAGGGACCGTGCGGCAGAGGTGCGACTGCACGGTCAGCAAAGGGGACGCGCCTTGAAGGGGGTAGAGCGTGAAAAAAGTGGGAGTATCGCGAGAGTGAAGAGGGTAGGGAAGAGCGCAGAGGAGAGGCGGAAGGCGGAAGAGGAGAGGGAGGAGGCAGCAGACACGGGTGTGGTTAGTGAAGACGGAGAGCATATTGAGAGTCCAAGCAAGAGGCGACGCGTAGACGTTGGTGGAAAGTTTGTTCCCGTTGGTGCGCGGGAGGGCGCCCCTGTCCGTGGCAAGTTCGTTCGTACACGCTTGCCCGCCTCTCGCTCGTCCGGACCAGCGTCCAAAGTGGTACCCGCGAAACGACTGGCTAATGCTGTCGTTGCCAAGCCGGCTACGGCTCTGTCCAGGTCTAGACGTGCGGCTTCCAGCCTTGCCACCCCCAAATCCAACATTCGTCCTTCCGCCTCGACCCTCCGGCCATCCACACTCCAGACCAAAGTTCCTATCCCTAATCCTAAAACTACTCGTTCAACTTTATCAAGGCATGCCCCCTCCAAAGCATCTACCCATGGCCCTCGCGACACAAACGACTAGATTCCTACGTGCCGAACCAATAGTTTTCGGGACCACGAACCCTTGAACGGTATCATGTTATTATGACTTTGATGTCTTTGCGCTTTCAATCATTAACTGTGTTATTTTCCTATATTCTCTCGTTTTGGTATTTGGGCTGTACGCTACTTATATTAGATCCTGGCGATGTGATTTTTTTCCAAATTTACTTTTCGTTTGAATGCCAAACACCGTGAAAGATACTCTCTGGAACAGCGACACTGCCTTGAAATAATAACCTGGCCGTCCTCGTATAGACGATTGCTTCTGGCTGTACGATTCCATCGACTTTGCCGACCTTGACGCTTGCGCTCGCCGTTCCCGCAGGATGTGCAACAGTTAGCGAAACTACGTCTCCCACGCCAGCAGCCGTTCCATGGGAGTGAGAGCTTGATACGGACTGGACAACCGTACCCCGGATAGCTGCAGCGGACGCTAGAGCCGACAAAGTCGTGGCAGGGACTGTCCTATGGATGTTCCCTACACTCACTGCGCGGACGTCCAAGTCGGCCACTTTGGAAGACGGCGGGCCAATCAGGCATACTTTGGGCGCGGCACTCGAGAGAGGTATATGCGCATGAGCGGCTCCTGCAGCTCGGACCCGTTCGATGAGAGACATGAGGGGCGCGTCTGCATCAAGGGCGGCGGGAGAAGAAGATATAGTATGAGAAGAGGAGGCGAGAGCGAAAAGGCGTGTTGCCGCGACAAAGATAACAGGGAGGCCGGTGTCGATTATGGAACATTCAACCTGTACGTATAGCATTAGCACGTGTTTAGGAGGAAACTAGCTACTTACCTCGTTCCCCTCGACGGTGATTACATCCCGCGGGTTCCCTGTACGTAGCGGTGCGTTGAGAATGGGCGTTTCAATGACGATAGGAGCGCCAGTTCCCGGCACGCCAGATATGATCGCGTCGCCGCCGGTGACGGGTGTGAGCGTTGGTTGCGTGCGCGACGGGTTTAGCATGACTGGGACGTTGGCAGTAACGACTAGGCCATTGTTCGCCGCCAGGATGCGAACGGGGAGAGTTGTTGGTTGTGGGTTTGGGCCTTGGGCGACGAGCGAGGAGACAACGGATTTGGGTTGGACGATGTTCCAGTTGATTGCAGTCTAGGCGCAAACGTTGGCACACGGCACGAGGGTAATGAAGAGGCGTACCATGGCAGCTGCGGATACTAGGTTGCCGCATGTAGATCCCCAGTCTAGCTCGGGCTCACGCACTCCGACCTGGCTGTATTGTTAGAACACTTTCGACCATGAGCATACATTTATCCATTCACCTGACAGAACCGATATACGACGTCCCATCCCTTCTTTCCATCTTGGGCCTTTTCCAGATCGTTTGCCCACGCAACGCCTGGAAAAGCGTTCGGAGAGTGCGCCGCTGGGTGATCTGCACCAGGTGCATGAAGGATAGCTGCTTTGGACAAGGAGGAGATGCCGCCTCCCATACTGCGCGTGTATTAGATTGCGCACATGTCGAATCGTTCAAACGACTAACCCGTCTATCTGACGACCGTCCGGATCGGGGCTACCTTTCATCGAGACCACGCGCTGAGTCAAAGCTAACTCGGAGATTGATATGACGCCTCACCCATTGCAGCCAGTATGATACGATTTCTAGTTGCTTGGGGTATCTTTGCGAACGCATGGTCTTGGAAAAACAATCCTTTGCTGCAATGTAGGCATGGGTAATTTGACCCTGTCTGATCGTGCATTGAACACACCTCGTTCCTCCCCGGCAAAAGTGAGCTGGTAAGAACCGCTGCATGGTGGTGGTCGAGTCAATCGAGATGAGTGAGCAAACCCTCCCGACTGATCCGGGCTGCAAACGAGACGCTTAAAAAAGAGGCGCCACCCAGACTCGAACTGGGGTTACCGGAAGACTGATGGGAAAGTCAGAATCCGAGGTGATAACCGCTACACTATGGTGCCAGCTGACCACCATGACTGCTGGCGGCCTTCAATTTGTGGCGGGTTTGTGTCTGCTGTGCAAACCAATATACCTGTTTGTCATGCACCCTGACTGACGCGCGACAGCAATGAGGCAGAGCCCCTGTCTCAAAACGCCCCGCAGCCGCCTTGGCTTGCGCGCTCACCCTCGTAGATCGTTGGCGGACGCTCGAGTTGTTGGCACGAGACCCAGCCAGAGGCAAGTTGGTCTGTTCGGATCGAATATTGTGCTGAGACACCTTCTGTTTCTGGATCTCTCTCCTCCCACACTCGTGACCAACTCTGACATCGACGTCCATAGCGCTCGACTTGGCCACTATCGTGCATCGAGACTCCTGAGCAACCTAAAACAGAGATAAGATGGTTTGTGCACGCGCCTGGGACGCGCTGCATGTCGTTGACACCTAGCGCCAGCCTAGGTCGCCAGTCTCTTCATCACCTGCTTCCCCGGTTTCACCAATCGCGCGCCAGCCACTTCCCAACGGACACCGACCGGCCTTGCCATCCTCGGACCCTTCCTCGCAGTACACCTTGCTTGAGAAACTTGGTACCGGGAGCTTTGGTACCGTGTACAAGGCGTGAGTGGCAATTCCGCAATGCTGGCCAACCTCTAACTGCTGCGTTCAGAACGGACAAGACCGGCCACATTGTAGCGATCAAACAAATAGACCTGGAGGACACCGATGATGATATTTCGGAAATTCAACAGGAAATCGCCCACCTCGCCCAGTGCGACTCGGACTACGTTACTCGCTACTATGGCTCGTTCGTCCGGGGATACAAGCTCTGGATCATCATGGAATACCTGGCGGGTGGCTCCTGTCTTGACCTCCTCAAGCCGGGTGTCTTTCCCGAAGCGCAGATAGCAGTCTTGCTTCGAGAGTTACTGCTCGGCCTGGATTACCTACACACCGAAGGAAAGATTCACCGTGACATCAAAGCTGCAAATATTCTCCTGTCCGCGGCAGGGAAAGTAAAACTAGGCAAGTGCCTCCCATGTGCCTGTCTGATGAGTAAACTAAATGACAGTGTAGCCGACTTTGGCGTTGCCGCCCAGTTGAGTTCGACCTTGAGACACACCTTCGTCGGGACCCCGTTTTGGATGGCGCCCGAGGTTATCCGGCAGGCAGGCTACGATGCCAAGGCGGATATCTGGTCCTTAGGTATTACTGCAATCGAGATGGCGATGGGGGAGCCACCGTTGGCCGAGTATCACCCAATGCGCGTGCTCTTCCTCATTCCAAAGGCTAAACCGCCGGTACTCGAGGGAGCGTTTAGTTCCGCATTTAAAGAGTTTGTGTCTTTGTGCCTTACCAAGGACCCCAAACTTGTGAGTTTGATATCAACCGCCTTTAACACGTGTATTCACCATTTTGCAGCGCCCACCCGCCAAAGAGCTTCTGCAGCACAGGTTCATCAAGGGTGCTCGCCGTGGTACAAGCTCATTGACGGAGCTTATTGAAAGATACCAGGAGTTCCGAGTTCGAGCCCAACCCCGCGCTGCAAATGTCAACAATCCCACTATTCGTCAGTCTGTCCATGACACGTACGCCAGCGGGCCTGGCGGTACGGTGCGTAGCGAGTGGATATTTGAAAGTGTGCGGAGCAATATGTCTGGTAGTGGATATGGTAGCGTCCGAGATATTCTGTACGAGATGGACGGGGAGGACCAGGAGGGGAGATACGAAGACTTGGGTACTTATAGTACTGTGGGAGCCGTCCATGGATCTGCCCTCGATAACGAGCCGGCGCCTCAAGAAATAGACGAGACTGAACCCGTAAAGGTATGTCTGCCTGCTGCGGGCTGCACACACCCAGCACTGCTATTTCGGAGTCGTGCCGTTGAATGCTTACATGAACCTATTTCATCATCACAGGCTCCCGCCATTTCGCTCCCTGGTTCCCCTTCAACTCCACGCGGCTCTGTACCAGGTACACCGAAGAATGTGTCTTCGTCACCGACAACGCCCTCGTCCCCTAGGTCGCAAAAGCGGCTGAGCTACGCTGAACGCAACAATCTCAATGGGGCAGTGGTTCGGGAAGGAGATGTTGGCGATGGGTGAGTCAGGTCTTTCGGTTGGCCCTGCGCTAAATTCACGTTGCCCGCCAGTATGAGTACTATGAGACCGGTCAAGCGAGTCGACGCTGCGGGCTCGCTGCGACTGTCCCATGAGTACGTAGGGAGTGTCAGGAGCCGCGGGTCTGGTGATAGCAGCGAAGGAAGTGCCGAGAATGGTCTTTCCGAAAGTATCACTTCGAGTGGTGAAAGCAAGACTCCTGCGAAGCACAAAAAGAGCGTCAGCGAGACTGCCAAGGCGGGCAAGGCACTCGTTGAGGAGGTGGTGATACCGGTCTTGCAACAGGTATGCGCCAGTTTTGAAGGTTGGGAAATAATTCTGATCGTGAATTTAGCATATACATGACGACATGGACGCTCGCGAGATTGAGAGCATGAGTATGCTCGCACGCGGATTCGCGGACCTCAAAGACGTGAATCCGGAGCTCGCATACAACGTTGTTCTGGATATGTTGTCGGGGATTAACGAGTGAGTTGCCCTGGCTTTTTATGACCTGCTAGAGTCTAATGGGTTTTGTAGGAACAATGCCCTCCGGCAACATATATCAACAAAGCGGGGACTGTTCCCGCATAAGCGCATACATCGTGGAACGGAGGTGACTGCAGACGGGCTGGTTGTGACTGAACATGCAGAGGAGGTGGGGAGCCGGTCGACGGAAAGCCTAGATGCTCAAAAGAAGAGCCCGATTGCCGAGCTACTCTACCTTCGCTGGCTGGAAGGATTGAAAATCAAGGTGTTCGGGTAGAGTGTACTTTATTTCCTCATCTCATGTTGCATTCTTGACCTTTGTGAATAGCCCACACTGAACTTTAGTTGTACTCGTTTTCTCTTTTGGTTGTTCCTGATTGTGTTTTGGTTCTGGTTGTAATGTGTTTCCTCTTCTGCCTTCCGCTGTCCTCGCGTACATATACAGTAGCACATCGGTTCAATTCAATTGTTTGTGATTTGACGCTTGAACAGCTGGTTCGCGGGTCGGAACCGAAGTGGTTCAAGGACAAACCCAATTGGCTTATGGATGACATAGTCGACATAGACAAATGCGCATGCGGAAAACATACAAATATATTGGACTGCAACAACGACCCACCCGCATCCCATCGACCACCAGGGCACATGCGCCCGCCCCAACGTCGTCACTAGACCAACGTAGCTCATGCCTTGACCGCATACTTTCGGATGGGGAAATGTTGATCCTTCTTCTTTTGCTTGACCGTTTTGCGGGCAGCATCAGTCTGTCAAGTGCAATGATGTAAGCACAAACACCCCGACACCACTCGAGGCGGAAACGACGAACCTTGGACAATCTCCTCCGGATCGCGCGAGTCTTCTTGGGGCGGAGGTCAAGAGGAAGGTATTTCTTCTTCTTGTAGTGCTCGCGCAGGTTCTGCCTCGTCTTTTGGTTGACGACGGTCAAGACACGGGCAACGGATTTGCGGATGGTGTTGCTGTTTGACCCCGACCGATCAGCATAATACACGAACCAACGGGGAGGCTCACATCTTGGTCAACTTGGAAGAGGAGGCACTCGCAATCTTCTGCACACGCAGGCTAAGGAGCTCGCCCTTGAGTTCCCCCAGCTGCTTAAGCAAGTCCCCCTTGGACCTAGATGCACCTATATTCAACGACCATTATCCGCCGTCTCCGATTTGCACCTACTTGGACTGGAGCTCGTACGCCTTCACCTTTCCTTGAGCCATTTTAGTGTTCTAGGGAAACTCGGGCGTCAGGAAACGGGTGGACAACTTGGGAGCATAAGTTCGCACTTACAGGTCGATACCTTGAGGATTGTCGAGATGTCGTCGGAAGCAAAACGCCGGAAGCGGAGCGGATGTGGCAAATGGAGCTGTACAGTTGGACATATGCCATAAATGGCAAGTATCACTATTTGTATTCTATCCCTGGTCTATGTTGCTTCAGGCCGAATGACACGCTCTGCCACAGCTTTTGTGATAGACGCGCAGAGTACGCTCCGAGGCTGCCCACTCTGGATCCATTTCCAAATTACTTTATCAAATCACGTGGTTCGGCGCGTGTTGCTTCAACTTGAACTTAGCCACGTCGAACCTATGGAATCCGTAGATGAATCTGCTCAGCTTCCCAAACCTACCTCTCCAGAGTCGGATGGGCCTCCGCGTCGACAGTTCGCACGTGTAAACACGTACGTTTTCCCCCACCGCGGTCATAGTAACTGGCATGTCTCAACCTTTGTTTTTCCCAGATACGTATCGGACGACTTGAATGACCAACTGCGTAACATTGGCGCAAGGATCCGAAAAAGTTTGTCCTGCATTCCACTCCGCTCTTTGCATCGCCTCGCTCCTAACTGCCTAGACCTAAAATAACCAATTGATGTTGCTTATGCAGGTGTCACAGAGGGTTACGCGACTACCAAGTGGAACGGGGAGCCAATCGCTCCGAATGTCCCACGAACGCGTGCCCAGCTGGGACTCGGCCGACCTTCGATTTTCCAGTCGGGTTCGGGCGAGGGAATGCGCAGGATATACACTACCCCAGCACAAATTTATGTCCCACCACCCACTGGCGGCCTCCAGCGGTTCGCTGATTTCGGAGAACCACCGGCGAAGCCAACCCCTGGTGACAGTATGCGTGTTCGGGCGGTGTCCATGGGTGCACACCGTCCAAATGACGCACCCCCGACGGCAAGGAAAGTGTCTGGAAAGATAGTTCCAGACGGATTTGACTCGCCTTCAGATTCCGAGCCGGAGGATGGGAAAAGCCAGGCGGATACGGATGCTCTGGGGGAATTATTCGAAGTTGGGGAAGACGAAAGGAGCTCGTCCATGGGCTCGAGTATGTTCGGCTCTGCGTCACGCCTACCCAATGCCCCTATTTCGAGTGGAAGCAACACCAGGACGCTTCAGCAAACGCAATCGCTGCCGGCTG